CCCCAAAACCCCAAAACCCCAAAACCCCAAAACCCCAAAACCCCAAAACCCCGCTAAGCTCCTTCTATATTGGCTTTAAATTAAGTAATTGGGCTCCTAGCGCTGGAGGCATTTCTAAGACCACAATTTTGGTAGGAGGAGGAATAGATAGAGAGAAGGAGTAGGCCTAATACCTAGAGGAATTAAATAGCCCAGTAGTTCAGAAATCATATGGGTCTCTGTGGATTTTGGGTGGGCTGGAGTCTTTGGAATCGGTGGGATTTTTGGGGTTGTTGGTGTCTTTGGGTTGGGATTTGTTGCTGGGGTCCTTGGAGTCCTTGGATTCTTCAGTGTTCTTGGAGTTCTTGGAGTTCTTGGGGTCCTTGGATTCTTCAGTGTTCTTGGAGTTCTTGGGGTTCTTGGATTCTTCAGAGTTCTCTGTGTTCTTATCTTTATTTTGTTTCGATGAGGTGTTGTCAGGATCTGGATTTGAAGAATTTCTGGTTTCTAAGGGATCTCCTTTAGGTGAGAAATTCTGAAATTTGACAAAACATTTTTATCAAGTTTTCTCTGAATTCTAATGAATTTGGTAAATTATCTAAGTTATTTGCTTTTACCTCTATTCCTGGGAGAGTAGAAGTATTTTGTTCGATTTCTCTAGTATTTTCAGGAAATTCTTCTGGTTTTTTATTTGATTTACTATAGAAAAGTCAGAATATATAACCCTTACTCATCAAAGCTATCTAAATCAAAGTCTAAAGGATTCCCAAAATTTTCAGGGATATCCTGTTTGGGAGAAGTCAAATCTTTCTCAGGATCTTGTGCTGCTTTGTTTACCAGCTCCACAGCCCTTGTACACCTTGATTTAACCTGTTTTGCCCATACAGATTGCTCCATTTGCCTGGCCACTTCCTTGTAATCTTTATTTTCCAGCCCCTTCCTCAATTTAGTGAACTTCTTGAAGCCACTAGGCCCCAAGTTGTAGATCATGCTGGTCATCACTTCCTGAATGTCAGAGGGTAATTCTTTGAAATTAGGGATGATCTTATGAGCAGAGTTACTAGCTCTGTGTAAATCTTTATGCAGCAAAGCAGTCATTTGCTCATGACTAAGTCCGTGCTTCCCTGAGAGGATATAGTTGTAATCAGCTTTGATAGATTGTAATTCCTCCTTTGCAAAGCTTCGCTCAAGGTTGTAGCCATAGCCTATTGTGCGATGACCTGTGGTGTCAACGTAAGAATGGCTTCTACAGCCTTCGTCCAGTTTTATCATTCTTTCAAGTGATGGAGAAATCCCGGAAGGGGAAGTATGAGAGGGAAAGGAATTCTTTGTTTCTTCTGAGAATGCTGTTGGTACTGTGCATTCTTGTACTCTCCCTTGGTTTTCAACCGTTTTTTCGCCATATGTTTGCTTTAATTGCCAATCAGAGCTCATATTATTTCCTAATAGATTTTTAGGTTCCATAATAAAAGACTTAAATTAAAAGTTCCTTAAATGGGGTTTTGGGGTTTTGGGGTTTTGGGGTTTTGGGGTTTTGGGG